GAAAAAAAATAAAATAAAACACCTTGAGATAACTGTACTTCACAAAAAAATAAAATAAACATGCAACATATTGGAAAAAAAAGTAGTTTAACTACATGCACATTAGTTCTAGTCAGCCAACCCGTCCTGTCCACCCAGGCACTTTTACTACAACACGAAAGAACTGATATGCCTTTAAACTTTTTCAGTTTGTCACATCACAGCCATTACCTTCAATGTATTGTATTGAGATTTTATGTAACACACCAACCAAAAGCAGTAAATAATCGGGAAATGGAGGAAACAAAATACCTTGTTTCAAAATCTTAATACAGACACGAATCTGTTTCGTGGAAACTGGTCTTTCACAGCAATGCAGCTGCAAATTCCTCTGTTAGCTTTGCGCATCCTGAGTGAAACTTGTCCTTTTGTCACCATGCAGCTCATTTTTAGTCAGACTGGATGTTTTATAGTTTCCTTTCAACATATGTCTGTTACCCGTAGAGGCCACACTACTCAAAAGCCCGGAGCTGTGGATGTTTGCACCACCTACTGCTTCTCCAGCCATGTCTTGAATCATTTGCACATATGATTTTCTGTTTCTTTTTATGAATGACGGACTGAACAGTACCATGTGAGATGTTCTCCAAAATGGTGCCGTTTGTTCACAAATATTTTCCTCACAAAGCTCTGAAGCCCTTAAGATGAAATTACACATGTAGGGGACTTTATTTACCTGGTAGGCGACTCCTGGAGGTATTATTCAGAGGCAGTGAATACAAATGCGTTTTTTTATGACCTTTTTTTTTTTGGGAAAAGTAATCAAAAACTACCTACCCCCTTCCTTCCACTTAAGTTTTATATACATCGACGTTTGTGGTTGTGGTGAAGGTCTGGCTGCTGCTGACGTGCTATAACCGTGATTTCAATTGACTGCTTGATTTTAGGGACTGATGACAGTCAGAGTCTCAACACAATAGGAGCAATTTCACCACTCGGTGACAACTCCTTAGGCACAAGACTGATAATCTGTTAGCCGAAGGAAGAAATATTGGAATGGGGAAAAAAGATCTGACAAAAAAAAAAAAAAAAAAAAAAAAACA